CATGCAGAGTGCATTTCTAGAACCACGGACACTTAGTTCTTCCTACGGAGGACAATTATTTTGAAAGAATGGAGTGAGCTTTCGAATGTTGCATGAAACTCTTCGAGATATCTGTTCAAAATGTTATGTACTTCCATATGCTAAAAGTTATTTTTCCTACTCAGCATGGTTTCGTACAACAAACATCATGTATGACAAATCTTGCATGTTTGAATCAATATCTCTGAACGCACCTGGACAAGCAAAAACAAGTTGATGTTGTTTATTTAGACTTTCAAAAAGCCTTCGATCAAATAGACCATTACGTTCTCAGCAAATTGACAAAATTGGGACTCTCTAACCAACTGCTTACTCTAATTGAATCATATCTAGTTAACAGAAAACCATTCGTCGAATATAAATCTTTCAAATCGGCCCAGTACGTAGTTACATCTGTGGTACCACAAGGTTCTAATATTGGACCTCTTTTATTTTTAATTTTCATTAGCTTTTAATTTTTCATTAACTTTTTGTGTTAAATACTCAATTTTTCATTGCTCTTTTGAAATTCTACTTATACGAATATTTTACATATACTTTGTTTTATCATTTACCTTTATACATTTCTATATTCCATTATTTTTAATATTCATTTCATATATACTCTGTAATAATAGCATTTCCTGTAAGGGGGTACTCCTGTTGGAAATAAATCGCTTTTTTTATGAAATCTCTCGAGATTCAGATAAAGTTTAATTCAGACATGGGTCGAAAGGTTAGCGAAATGCTGAACTAGTGAAATGAGTGAAATAATTGATATCTTTTATTATCACTCAATTATCAAGATGACGTTATTTCAGTCAGACTTCTTGATAAAATGAGTATTTCATTGAGTTCAAAACATTCACCTATCTCAGTATCCTTTTATGGGAAATGGATATGATAAGTTGGAAAACAACTAGTTTCCAGGTTAATGCCACGGCGGAAATTGAATTGTATCCACCTGATACTTGCACAAGTTTCCTTAAAGGGGAAATTCTAGCAGGTGTTTTTCATTTGTCTAGCATAATACTAAATTATTATATTACACTGAATTATACTAAAAACACTTTTTCCTATTCACTTTATATTACCAAACATTTACAGGATTGCTATACAATACGATGGGGGACTATTTATATTTCACAAACTAACAACACTAATGTCAATGGGTAAAATGTGGCAACACCAAAATAAAGTTTGATCTTTTTTAGCATACACGTACTCACAACTTTTTGCTATACAAGTGCTATTTATTTTGTTTACAGTGAGTTAGGAAAATCAATGTGACAAAAAAAATGGAAATTCCATCGAGAGAAAGTTTTCGCTGGATTATTTTTCACAACTTTCGACGTGAATTATCTCAACAAGAATGTGTCGATGAACTCAGTAGCTGTCGTGATATTAGCCAAGGAAAGAATTGCTTTCTGGCAGGCATTTGCCAGATCCTAAATCGTAGAAACGTTGAGAGAGGTAATTATTTCGAACTGAAATTCATACTATTTATTTTCTTGATAAAGAACCTTCGAAAACATTTTATTTACATCGGAGTGACTGAACTGGTGAGAATATAGAGTGAAATTGCAGGAAATATTTGCAAACTTTATAATTAGTGAGAGTCAATAACAAAACAATATCAACAACAACAATAACAAAAATATCCGTTTTCATCTACGTCAAACTACGACAACGAGTAGTTGTCGTCGTAAGAACGTTTTCCCACTGAATCTCACATGTAACACCGACCTCCGTTTAAACCAAATAGCTCGACATGATTTATCACAACCGTATCATATCCTCTACTTTCCGGGACCAGGATCTTTATTTTCCGGGTGGATGAGCTCAAAAAGGACGGAGGAGAACTTCACGTTCTCCCGAGTAAGTACATATAACTCAATTAATTTAACGACCCAGATATAAAACTGATTGGATTGTCTTCCCAGGCTTCTTCTGTCTGGTTTGAGTCGCTAGACGAAATTTACTACCAGTGAGCTTCCTGATGGAAATTGTAAACAAAATAATTCACCGGGTATTAGACTTTTTGGAACTCCGAGCGCATTTTTGGTTCAACTTTCACTTGTGCTTGTGAAGAAGTATCTCAGGACATCCTTGAAAGAATATTGAGCGTACGTACTGTTTTCAGAGATATACCGAATTGACATTTCATGATGTATGTATGATGAAACCAATAGGTAGGTACTACCTTTGCAAGGAAGTCTGTATGCAGTCCATCTAGCCTCTCTCCTTCAGTGATAGCCAAACAAGCCTGTCTCCGTAAGCCAGAGAGTTTCACTTGAACCGTTTTCTGTGAAGCCTTCGGTCACCAAGCAACTGCACCATAAGTGATCATTGGTCTGACAATCATCACATTAATCCAGTGGATTTGTTTAGGACCTAAGCCCCAAGTTTTACCACAAATCCTTCGACATGTCCAGAGAGACAGTCTGGCTTTGTGTAAAACTTTTTCCAAGTGAGCGTTCCAGGTTAGTCTTTTATCAAGAACAATGCCAAGATATTTCACCTCCGTTCCAAATGGAATGACCTCACCATTGAGGGAAAGTGCCTGCTCTCTCAGGCACCAACTTTGAACAACGTCCAACGTGCTTTGGGGGATATTTCAAGCTACCCTTTTTGACGTGGACCTTGCCAGGAAGGCAAGGTCATCTGCATAAGCTTGGAGATCAACTTTTTTTCTGTCAAGGGCATCAAGCAAAGTATCCATCAGGAGCCACCACACAGAAGGGGAGATAGTACCCCACTTCCAGGGGTGACCCTGAACCTGATGGCCTCGCCTTGAAGGGTCTTGGTTGCGGTTCTGTTTACAAGCATGGCATAGATTCAGGCAGTTGTGGTCGATTCTATACCCTTTCTAGCCAGAGATAATTATATAGATTTAGGTAGTGCATTGTCAAAAGCTCCTTCAATATCAAGAAATACAGCAACCGCAATCTAATTGTTGTCAAGGGATTGGGAGATTTTATCAATGAGGTTGTTTGATGCTAAATCGGTTTGATTAGCATACTGGTGGTTATTCAGGAGGGGGATGCATACAGCGTGACTCACGGTCGATGGTAGGTTAGACGTTTCTGGAAAACGCAAAGAATGATTTTTTTGAAAATTTCACCTCTCACATTTCCTTACCTGTTCTCTCGATCTAAAATATTTTTAGCATTGCGGCGTTGCCACTTCCATCAAAAAGTCCTAGCAACTTTATTTTTTTAATTGGAACACCCCGTATATTAATACATTTTTGGAATCGCTCTGGTATTTTAATACTTTTTTGTTAATAATGTCCTATACCTATCTCTATCTGTTTTCGAGATAAAAAATAAATTGTGCTAAATATGGTCCAAAACATAGCCTTAATTGAAATTAAGTACCTACATCAGTACTCTCAATTCATGAATAGTTGATATTTTGATGATAGTTTAGACAAACTTGAAATATTCAAATAACACCAAGAAATCGACTTCATATCATACAGGGCGTGCTAAAATTACTATTATTTCCATTGTGCATAAAAGTAGTAAAAAAATCATTTTTTCAAATGAAACCCCCGGTATATTACTCGGTAAATTGAAAGATGGTGAAAAATGCTTCAAGATGATATATCATGTCGACTACTTTTATGCACAATGGAAATAATAGTAATTTTAGCACGCCCTGTATGATATGGAGTCGATTTCTTGGTGTTATTTGAATATTTCAAGTTTGTCCAAACTATCATCAAAATATCAACTTTTCAAGAATTGAGGGTACTTATGTACTTAATTTCAATTAAGGCTATGTTTCGGACCATATTTAGCACAATTTATTTTTTATCTCGAAAACAGATAGAGATAGGTATAGGACATTATCAACAAAAAAGTATTAAAATACTAGAGCGATTCCAAAAATGTATTAATATACGGGGTGTTCCATTTAAAAAAATATAATTGCTAGGACTTTTTGATAGAAGTGGCAACACCGCAATGCTGAAAATATTTTAGATCGATAAGGCTGATTGGTCGTACTGATTTAGGGTGTGGGTCTCTCCGACGCACTCTGAATGTAGTCTGAAGGGTTGGAAAACGAGGCAGTTCCGCTGTTTATCGATATTATAAATATCCTGGATTTGAGAAGTGTACTTTAAACTGAAGCAACTCAGTTTTTTCCCCAAAAGTGGTCGGCAATAAAGACGATATTTAGAGGTCCAAAAGGATTCCAAACCAGACAAAACATTCGCGATGGTTGGACAACCCAAGTTCCTTGGAAAATACCAAAGGCTGTACTTGTCTGCAGCTTAATGGAAACCGGCAGATCTACAGAAAATGATCCCATTTGTAGTATTGGTTCCAGAATTCAAATAGTTACAATAACTCACCTCTTCTGAGGGAAAGACCTCCACTAAAATAATGCGCTACACAAATATGGTCACTGACGCGACACACTTTCGTTTCTGAACTGTCACTCAAAATCATCTGAGGTTGACATGCTTCTAACCAGAACTTTACTAACAGCCTCAAAATTGAAACTTCTTCACGGATTTCACTGACCCGCAGTATACGAAATAAAATGTTGATTTTTCCACTCCTGAAACTTGATTACATAGGATGAGATATTTCTGATCCGCTCTTCTCCAAGAAGGAAAAAAACCAATGAAAATCATGTGTGATTGAAACAAAATTTGAATACTTTGATCTCATTTTTTCAGTAAGCAGAAACAATGAAACACTTTCGATTTTTGCTTTAACGGTGTTCATTATTTCATTCAGCCGTGGATGTCTTACATTCCAACTTTTATTTTCTCTTTCAAAAATCACAATGTCCTAATTTGGGACGATTTACGAAGAGTGTTTTTTAATTTCGTCACTTCTGAGAATGAAGAGAAATAACAAGAAACGAGGTTATGCGCTATTTTTGATAACCCTGAATTGGAGTCACTGTCACATCATCAGTAAACATCATTATTAATAGTACACCATAAACTTGTAACTTGTGAGTGTGTACAAAAGTGAAATGAATCTTGTAATAATAAAAAGTTTCCTGTTCTGCGCTTTTCTGGGATCTATAGCATGTTCAGGCATAACTTTCAACAACACGCAGGTAAGTGTTCGTCTTACTGCTTTCAATATTGCAAAACAAAACTCTGTAAAATTCAAACTCCAAGAAAATATATGAGTGGTGATATACACTGATATTCACGAAAAGATTGAGTTCAATTCTTCTCTCTTCTAAATGTAACACGTCATAGTAGTGATTCAACCCATGCCCATCTGTCATACTCATCTCTTATGTTCTTCAATTCTCTGAGACAAGGTTCTACCTGTTAGGCCAATATAGAGTATTGGGCAAAACCACAAATCAACTCATAAAAATAATTTTTGGATTTACTAATAGTAAGTTAATTTAGAATATCCTACTCTATTACCGGATTAACATTGTTTTTGGTGGAATACTGGGAAATAAATTTTGGATATGAAACCATATAATTTGACGTATTTAGGAAGATTTATGTTTTCAATCCTATTCACTGATTGATATGTATTAATTGTACTAAATCGCGGTGTAACTTTCTGTACTCAAATATTATTGATGAATTCTTATGGAAATGTAGAGTTTCCAAAAAATCGAACGAGTACTTCAAAACCTAGACGAATATATTCGAATGTCTGCATGAACTGAACTGGTGGAAACAAACTAATAACAACAATAAAAGCAGAATCAAAATGAAAAGTGTTTCGGTAGAATAAAAACAATGTTTATCATGGGAAAAACAACATCATCAGCAATTTCTGTTATGATTTGATTTCCCAATAACTTTCGTATCTCCGCAATTTGTTCATTCGACGATAAGACACTCCTTGCGACTGACCACTGACAGAAGTGATATACAGGGTATTTATTGAACATGCGGCATAAATTAAGGGACTATTCCTTGGACTATTCTAAGGATATTTTGTCCTTTGATTATTTTTGATAGGGCTCTTTGTTTCGAATATACGACAATAACAACGAAGAATTTCGACAATAACAATTTTGGTAACTTTAAAATTATTAACGTAGCCAAAATGAAAGTATAGCGTACTGCACTGGACCTATGAATTAATAAAAAATCTAACAATTCCGTTGGTACCCGTGTCAACAACACTCCGTTTACTACAAACGGCTCCAGACATTCAATTTATTTATTTATTTATTCATTCATTCATTTATACAACGGGTAACCCCCAATTTTCATACAACCTATGAAAGTGGAGACTGAAAGTTTGGTTGTTACGTGTTCTTCTCATTCTCACTGAGACTCCACTGAATCTAATAATTTCAATCTAGTTAGGGCTAAATAAGCTCCTTATTACTTTAAATAACTGTAGCAAATTTCAACAAAATCAATGGAAGAATATTCATGATATTTCATAAATACCGTTTGTTCTTTAACTTCAATGCCCTGTATCTCAGAAACGAAGAAACTCCGACTCCGGACATTTGTTCATGGGAAATTTTTTTCCTAAAACGACCTAACAAATCTCCCTCACCGTAGTTACGAAACATTCCATCTACTTTTCGTGATTTCTATGTCTCCAGTAGAAGTTTAAATCTTCACATATTCTTCAACACACAGGTAACTTTGCTGAGACACAATTCCACAGTAGCTTCCACCAAAATTTCATCAGAGAACCTTCTAGCCGCCATCGAGGTAAGCCCCGCTGAATTCGACGAGGTCAAAATCACCGGACATGTAGGAACAAACGAGTTCGACATAAAGCATCTTCACGGAGAAGTGGGAACCATGCGGATACTTCGCGCGAGCTCCATGACGAATCTGCATTTGAAATCAATGGAGATCAGCTCCACAGATCTGGAACACATCGAACAGGGAGCTTTCAGAAACGTAACTCGCTTGAAGAAATTGGTGATACGTTCAACCTTGTTGAAGGAGGTGATACCCGGAGTTTTCAATGACGTCCCTGTTCTGAACCTCGTGCTCGAATCCAACGAGATAGAGAGGGTAGCACCGGGATCTTTCGGGAACATGTTCAAATTGTTGATACTGCGGCTGAACTCGAATAGAATATCAGAGTTGAAGAAAGGTCTTCTTGAAAACTTGCAGCAGCTGAGATTGGTCGATTTGTCCAGGAATCGCATAGAAAGCATTGAAAACGGGGCTTTTAGAAATCTTCCAAAGTTGGAAACACTCCACTTGGAAAGAAATAGGATTAGCTTGGTTGGAGACAAGTTTTTGGGTAAGTTTCTTCTGTATAATATGAGCATAATCGATCACAGATCACACAGATCTGAAATACAGTAATTGTCAAGGATATTATATAACTGTTCCATTGTAATTTCTCATATGTTCACCTGAACAACCCATCTGAAAGGTTGAAGTTTCAAAAAAGTTGAGGAACCTTCGTAGGTAGTCGTTCACACCACTAATTGCCTAGTACCAAATTCTTGTGATTGTGTACAATTTAGAAGAGGCTACTTCTGTAAGTTCATAATTTAGATTGGTCATTGAAGAGAGAACATTGACTCCAACAACTAAAAAAATATGAAGGGATTCACGTCACTCATACACTTAACGCCAGAAACAAAGTCACGATATTTCACGTGTTTCATATCTTCATTGTGAAAATTTTGGGGTTTATCTATCTAAATTGAGCATGGACTGCTTGCTTCCTGTGATCCAAGACCACTAAATCCAAGAAACTTATGGGTTTAATCACCACTGAGAAAAGCTAATACATCATGTCTCGAATCAGTCCCCATATTTTCCCAAAAGTATATTTGGCTAGCATCAGAGGCTGGATCTGATTTGCGAACAGCTAGTTCATGTTCATAGGCTCTGTTGGTCTGGCCGATGTAAGTTCTTGGTCAGTTAGAACATGGTATTTCGTATATATGACTCAGTCATGGGACAGCAAGCCATGATGGTTAAACTTCTGAAGAAGCTAGCCACTCACGCCAGCGAAACGTCAGGAAGAACTTCCAAAAATCCACGGCTTTCAAACTCGAAAAACAGTGACACTGAGTGGACTCTATGGATGTAGGGAAGAAAAGCTCAATTGGTTAGTCTGTAACTTGTGGAGTGGGGTTTGTGTTTGTTGTAGTTGGATGAATATTTGTATTTGGGAGGTGACGTTAGATTAGGTCTAAAGTGATTGGGTCTATTCGATCCTCTACCGCAACCCGCAACCACAAGTGATTCTGTCATTCCCGTATCCAGCGGGGCTCCGTGGAAGCAGGAATCCGATGGCAGGTTTGCTCAACCCCCACATCTCAAGCCAATGCACTGGCCAAAAACAACATTCAGAGTGGTTCAGGCAGGAAAAGATGAACTAAGACAGCCTACCCGCTTTGTATTTGGGAGACGGGATAGTCGTTTTGGTGAAGGGCAGCTTTGAACTCGTATAGTTCCCTGGATCTGTTATGGTTGTCAGTGAGTCCTATAGAACGATGTATGAGGGAATTCAAAACGGAATTCAGTTGGGCAGGATGATGATGGGATTCAGCATTGAGGTAGAGGGTTAGTATTGGTAGGTGCTCGGTAGACCTTGTGTGAGAAGGAGTTGTTGGACTTTGTGATGAGGATGTCTAGGAATGGGAGTGAGTTATTATTTTCAACTTCCACCGTGGGATGTGAGGAGTTGATGTGGTCTATGGATCTATGGAGCCATATAACGAAGACGTCATCCACATATCGGAGTCAACATGTGGGTTTGAGATGAGAGGTGTCAATCTCTGGTTTCGAAGTCCTTCATGTAGAGGTTTGCAAGGACTGGAGAGAGAGGAGAACCTATTGGGGCGCCTTTGACTGCACATGCAGTAGCTGACGAGGTTGGTCGTGTCTTGTGGAATTTGATGTTTCATTTTGGGAAGGGACAAGGTTTCAGTACTGGGATATTTGTGAAAAGGGATTCTACGTCAAAGCTGACGAGAATGTCTGTTTGTTGGATATTGAAGGATTGCACAATTTCTATGAAGTGATAGGATGTGATCAATGTCTGATCTTCTAATAAGGCCATTATTTGATTGTAATATGAGTGACATTTCCAAAAACAACCTTTTAGATGTATTTCTTTCAATTGATGAACTTTTAGTTGAATTACAGTCCATTTTGTGACCTTCTTTGGAGACATGATTACTAATCATGTCTAATACTAATGAAACTAATCCTCTCGAACATCAGGGTTGTCCAAAACGCTAGGAAAGATTTGGTAATCGAAAAAATCTTCAAAACAACGCAAAGATTACAAAAAGTCTATACAACTGGCAAAACGAGAATCGTATGAAAGTTTTTTGGCATGTTCTCCAAATATCAATAGAGATACTTGGAGGATCATCAATTACGAATGTAATAGGAGACCTTCAAGGTCTCCTCCGCATTCGGACAACGACTTCAATGATTATTTTGTTGACATTATTTTGAAGTGTTGTTTTTTAATATAGGGAAACTAATTTGAAAGATATTAATGTGTTAAAACAACGATAAAAATAAAATAAATACAACAATAAAAATTAATTGGCGCTCCGGGGCGACTTCATTGATTCCATTGTAGATTATCTCATTTCATCTTTTCCTGACGTAAATTATGAAGCGACAGATTTCTTGAAAACACCAATTAACTCCTTCGTATTGTTCCCCACGACCCCGAGGGAAGTAATGGAAAGTATCCAGTCCCTCAAGAACTCCAATTGTTCGGACTTTTTTGAGCTTAACAGTGGGATCATCGAAAGTATTGCCAATATGATTGCCTACCCATTATCCCTATTAATAAATGAATGTTTTTCTCATGGGGTTTTTCCTGCAATATTAAAAAAATCTGTAGAACTACCTCTTTTAAAAAAAGGAGACCCTCATATCATTGACAACTTCTTCATTGACAACCTATTTCAATAATACCTATACTTGGAAAAGTTATCGAGGTAATTGTCAAAAGCAGATTAATATCATACTTAGAAGCTAATTCTCTTTTCTGCCCTGGACAATTTGCGTATAGAAAGGGTGAGTCCACAATCGATGCTCTTTTGAATATCATATCCAGTATAGTGATAGGTTTTGAGGAGGGCACACATTCATTCATAACGTTGTGCGATCTATCGAAGGCATTTGATTGTGTTTCGCATACTATTCTGCTTGAGAAACTTTCCTATTATGGTATCCGTGGACTGTCCCTTAAATTCTTTGAATCCTATTTGCACGATAGATTACAGTGTGTATCATTTGTGTTTTGACTTGCTACAAATATTTGTTCAAATGTATCACGTAGCCAATAAACTATTCTATTCTATTTTATTCTATTCCAAGAGCACATCTCTCAGGGTGTAAGCTACTATCACTTTTATGTGAACTAATTCTGTCTTTAAGTAGTCTTGACGTTTGACCAATATATTTACTACCACAATTTAAACATGGAATGAAATAGATTAATTGAGATTGACAGTTAATAGGAGTTCTATCTTTGAGTTTCGAAAATACTTCATTAATGGTTAATATGGGGTAGACTCATATAAATGTTTTCTCAATGACTATACAGGCTGATTCACGGTGGATGGCACATTAGACGTTTCTGGNGAATGTCCGAATATGCCCTCCATTAAATTTTCAAAGTGATCCGTTGTCTGGTTCACCAGAAACGTCTAATGTGCCATCCACCGTGAATCAGCCTGTATATTATAAAACTAGAATGGTTTTTCTAATATTTTTTTTAGAAAATCTTCCCAATTTGAAAGAAGTCCACTTGTATTATAATGAACTGAAAGTAATCAATCCAGATTGGTTTGTGGGATCTAATAATATAAAAGCCCTGCTACTTGGCCACAATGAAGTTCAAGAAATCAAAAAAGGATTCTTGGGTGGTTTTCCCAAGCTAGCAGTTTTGGACTTGGCCTTCAATGACCTAACAATCATCCACGAAGATACCTTCTCACAGTCGCATGTCCAAGGTGAGTAAATTTTCTTACTTGTTATCGTTCAGTTCTCATCGGTTTATTGCAAATCGATCTTTCATTTGTTTTCTTCGGAAAACAGATATCAATTGAGATATTTCGACATGTTGTGACCTTGGTTAACATGCACAAACAATTATGGTTTACCTCAGAATCGAAAAACATTTCTGTGAAAAGAACCGAAAAATATTTATGGCAAGTGTGTAGGAATATATCTCAAGATGGAGAAATTTCGAATTACTCAGATAAGTTCGAACTAGCAATCTAAAACTCGTGGAAAATTTTGTTGTAATTTTCTGACTGTTTATGCCAGTCTTTGAATTGATCAAAACATTTTCAATAGATCGTTTCAATTCATAGAAACGAGATGTTTTGAACAGATCAATAGATGAGTTCTTCAGATTAATTAACTGATGAAATTGAAACCAAGCTTATTACCAAGAAATGATTCAATTGGAAAAAAATATCAATAAGGTTTTTTATATTTTTGGAAAATAAAAGTTTTGGCTTTCTACTCCTCCATCAATACAAAAATGTGGGAATCTTCTAAAGAGGGGAAGAAAGCAAATCTATTTAAAAAAATGAACCCTTTACAAAGATGTGTAGATCATGCAAAGAAGTATGGCCTGGAAAGCCATACTTCATCAGAAACGGAAGGTTTTTTTGACCCATCTGTGAACCAACAACTACCTGCTCTTAATATTTCCTTCTCCCGGAGGATCCAGCCCTCTCTACTCTGGAACAGTACTTTATAAGGCAGTTCGTAGTTGACAGTTGGAGTCATAAATTCAGAGGCTATTTCCAAAATGACCTCTGACTTAGGCCCGGGACTTTTCAGTCCATGTTTTGTTGGAAATATATTTTTCTCCAGAGAAAACTATGTTAGAATATAGTTGCATAATCGGTACTTTTGGATTTAGTAGCAAAAGATTTCCCTTTTTTTAACAGTATTAGAAGAAACGAGGCTGGTATTTTCGAGGATTTTTTTACAAAAGTCAAAAATTTTTCTTTTAAAACGTCCCTTTTGTTTTTCAGAATTGATTATTTCGCACAACGAGCTGAAAATCATCCAGAAATCTGCATTTGAGAATCTCCCCGCTCTCTCCAAACTGAAGCTGAACCACAATTCCTTGAGTAGCCTGCCAAAAGGATTCCTGGTGAACGTCCCAACGAATGTATCTGTAGATTTACGAAAAAATCCCATGGGCTCGGTAGCTGATATAGCTGAATTTATAGTATTGAATTGATTGAATCAATCATATTTTAAGTGTTTGCACATATTTAATTTTTAAGGCTTTTGTAATATATTATATTTTATGTTGGACGACATTGATTTATTTTTCCTTAAGATGAGCATTGGGTTAGCACTGCTCCAAAACAGCAGAATTGCAACACCAAGATGGCATCATCAGGAGATGAGCTAGTCTCTAATCTAGTTTACTAGACTCTAGTCTCCTGTTTGAAATCAGTTTGTGAGAGTAGAAGTAAAACAAAAATATACATCATCATCGCCACAGTCTTGGCTGTTTCGGCAGCGTTGCAGTTCGACAAATGAAAGAGTTCTTGGACAGTGAAGTTCGAGGTGTACTGAGTTGAACCTCAAAACAATGAGCAGCCACAGTCCGGCGCGTATAACTGATATGTACCGCTCTTGGTGGACTCAACTCTGCCAAGTCACTTGAACACTTTCCGTGAAAGTATCTATAGAAGAGAGACAAATCTCCAACTTTCTTCGATGTTCCAGACTTTCAAGGTTGCAAGTGATGTTTGCATCTCCAATCAGGCGGACGGATTTTTTCAAACCTTCTTAGATCAGACCTTCAAAGAATGTCTGATCTGAGCTTTATAAAGCATCAGAAGTTGCTGAGGTAATCCGGTCAATCTAGACATTGGAAGCTACATAAATTTACAACAAGCTGCAAACGCGTGTAATTGTTCAAAACATAGTTAAAAATGAGATTTCGAAATTCCGGATGATTGCGATGCCTGGAAAAAAATTTATTCGAGGTCAAAGGTCAAAAATCTTGAAAAAAATTGGTTTTTCGCGATTTTCAGGAAAACGGTAAGTTTTATCGTAAAATGACTTCAGATAAAAACTGTAGATCATAAAATTCTCTACAAAAAATGTATCAATACTTTATTTCTTAGAGCTCCCGTTTCTGAGATACGACGAGTCAAAAAGTTGTAAACGTCATTATATGCACACGTTTCCACGCCATCTTAAATGTAAAAATGTATTCATCTGAGTCATATCCTACAAATACTTCTTCTCGTTGTTCTTCTTCTTGGTCTTCTTCTTCTTGATCTTCTTCTTCTTCTTGATCTTCTTCTTCTTCTTGATGTTCATCCTGGGTGTAGGTAAACTGCGTCAAGAGTGATGTATCGCATGTTTCCTCGTTGGTATCAAATGAATCCTCCACTATTGGTGATTCAACATTAGAACATGACTGGCCTTGACAATGTGTACATGCCAGAGAACACAACAGTCCAACTTTTTCACAACCACATTTAGCGTTGCATCCCTTTTTACAGTTGCAAAAAATTGTGTTCAGCAGTTTTTCCGGCGCAGGTGGGAGTAAAGTCTGAATCGGTTCTAATGCATTGTCGACCAACTTCCAACCCCCGTCTTTTGGGTCTAGCTGATAACCAAGCCACACTTGAACTTGGTAATATACCCGGAAAAGATGTTGATGCGCAGCAACTGAGGTTGGAGGAAGATAAGCTAATTGCACCTGTTTCTTATTTTTAGTTTTTTTTACGGAACATGCATATCGATACTTATCTAAGTAGGTGATTTTTTTCGGAACTTTGTACATAATTTCTTGTTGAGTCGAATTACTTTTTTTGAAAACTTCAGCACATTGAACTAAATCTTGTTTTTCAAACATTTTACTGTTGCTTTACCCCTCCTGTAAAATGCAGACGTCGTATCACATCCAGTTATTGCGTATAAAAATAGTACATGATTTTGACTCTTTGCAAAAGTAGATAAACTTTTTGACGAATATATTTCGGTTTGACTTTGAGCTTTTCCTGGCTTTAGAAAGAAAATAGTTTTTTTCAGGTGGAGTTCGAGCAGTAAGAAGTACGAGTTAGTCTATATCTTCACCAACAACAATAGTTGTATTCGTCAAATTAAATTGCTGTATAGCTGTTTCAATAATCACTACGTCGGCATCATTATTAGTCTGTTTAATCAATATATTTTCGCCAATAAACTTATCTTTCAACATTGAAATGAACCGAGATTTTTTGTGAGTATTTGCAAGAAATTTCTGTTGACTGGTAGGAACACTCATAAGTTCATCAAATAGGATATCGGAAGATGAAGATGTTGCTACAGTTCGACGACGTTATTCTGCAGCTTTAATATTTCTCGTGCAATCATCATAGCCATCAAATACGACCGTAATTCTGGCACCAAAATGTCTACGTACATAATGAACGTATTTATCTAAAATAATGCTAAATGTTTCTTCACTATCACGATGTAGTAAGTATCCACCGTCAATGATGTATGTCGTATTAGTATTGTTAATTTCAATATTGACGATGTATATACGTGGCATACTTATGCATATAATGACGATTACAACTTTGACTCGTCGTATCTCAGAAACGGTGGCTCTAAGAAAAAAAAGTTTTGAAACATTTTTTGTAGAGAATTTTATGATCTACAGTTTTTATTTGAAGTTATTTTACCATAAAACTTACCGTTTTCCTGAAAATCGCAAAAAACCAATTTTTTCGATATTTATGACATTTGACGTCGAATAAATTTTTTCCCAGGTATCACAATCATTCGGAATTTCAAAATCTTATTTTCAACTATGTTTTGAACAATTACACGCATTTGCAGCTTGTTGTAAATTTATGTACCTTCACTCTTATTTTTTAGTCTAATTTGACCGGACTAAGATCAAATAATTGATGATTTTGATATCACTGATGTCACATTAAAACGGACAAAACTTCTGAAACCACCTAATTTAATGCCATAGCATATTCAACACTAAGTTTTTATCCCGAGGACGAGCTACAGAAGTGATAAGAGTTTTTAGGTTACAGAAAAGTGTGATTAGAATGATATTTGATATCCCATTTGGAGAGACATGTGGAAATATATCCCAAGACCACAATATCACGACACTTTCTGGCATATAATTTTATGGATCCTTTGGAATGGAATATTATTTATCAGCAAAAACTTTCACAAAAAGTTCTTCTTACATTATGTGAATATCAATAATGATTATTTCATTGAGATTTGAATCCTTGATTTCAAAATCTCCTCAAAATTGACATATTAACATATCGTTGTGAAGCCTTATGTCTATAGCCACAGAGAGAAAGAGAGAGATACAGGAGAGAAAGAACAAGAGGAATTCAGTAATTATTTCTTGAAAACTTTACTGATGGTCGCTTGAGATCTAAAAACTTTGTCATATCCAAGAAAATGCTGATATGTCGGTCGCTTCATCTGTAATTTTCAATGTCACTGATTGCGAAACACATTGTTCCTTTTCGAATATAGATTACAACTCTAGCTAGTCTTTTTTTTTTCAATACAAACAAAATATTCTGTCTAATACTGAGTTTTCCAACTTTGATTGACGTGGTGAAATATAAATTATCACTAGTATCGAGAAACTTGAAAACATCTAACAAACATTGAATTCTGATAATTCATTTCAGATGCAAAGCATTTCAAGTCATTCTTTTCTTTATCCAGGTCCGTAATGTTAGATTGTGATGGAAAAACAACGTTATCGAGAGTGAAAAAATTCGAATCTGTTTTCATCAATGATTCACGGTGGAAAATAAACTCCGTATCTTGTTTTTCAGCTGCCAGGAGAAAAACAAAAGTATGACTTTCATTTGGCATTCAGATAACCTCCACGTTAAGATCAAAGTAAGAAAGAAATTTTATCCAGTGAGGTGTTCATCCAAAAATACATCGATAATTTTCCCTAACAGTATTTGTTTGGGCTTCGTAGATTACAGGATTTTTATATAATTTTTTTATTCAAGTTTCCACTCAGAGACGTAGCGATTAACGGGTAATAATAATAATAATAATTTATTTTCCATCAGACAATACAAACATAATATTCGTCATAACACTACATTGAAAATCAAAATGAAATACCTTATATAAACAAATTACTTCATATACAGGGTGTAACTAAATAAGTGTAAAACATTTAAGGAGGATATTCCTCATCGAAAAAAAGATCTTTCACATAAATTACATCTTTCACATAAAGAAATTTCATTGGAGCATCTCTTGTTAAGATACAGCCCCTTAAAGGGGGTACATAAAATTTGTATAAAAATTTTTTTCACAAGCACTAAAAAATTCACAATATTGAAATTAACCTGACGTTTTGTACTACCAAAAAGACACTCAGCCAGAAATTTATTTGGTTTACCCCATGGTTGTGAGGGGTAGAAAACGCAACCCCTAAAATGTATTTCCAATGTAACTTTTTGTCTTATCATTTGTTTACCATTTAAAAATTTATTTAAGATAGCCTGTTTCATTCTGAATAAAAAATGTCTCTTGGGTTTTTTGCCCAAAATGAACCAGTTCGCAACAAAAAATTATTTTACGAACAACTACAGAGATACATCGTCATAAATGCGAAAATACGAAACTAATCTATCTAGTAGGTCGCTATTAGCGATAGGGACAATTAAATTGATATGACGCTGTCAGTTTGTGAATTTTCGAAATTGAATTAATACTAATTGTGTGTTGTTTTCTGTTCTCAATTTGTTACTTTAATAATTCACTTGTAATTAAAATGGCATACACAAATGAGGAAATGGATGCATTACGTTTACGGTCTGTCCCAGAGGAATCGGTTAGAAGCTTCTAAAAGATATGCTGAAATGTATTCTCAACGCCAGCATCCTTCACATAGAATATTTGCTCGACTTCATCAACGATTACGAGAACATGGTTCATCCGACAAAATAACGCAGGATTGTGGTCGCCATCGAGAAGTACGAATACCACAGCTTGAGGAAGCAGTACTTAATTCGATTGAAGAACAACCTATTACCAGTACTAGAAAGATTGCTTTCCAGCTAAATGTTGATCATATGACGGTATTTCAAATTTTAATACCTACCATCTGCAACGAGTACAGGCACTGTTATCGCGAGACTTTCCGAACCGTCTTGAATTTTGCAATTGGATGCTGGAAATGATTAGAAGACGGTAGAATTCACAGACGAATGTAGTTTTTCTCGGGACAAGATTATTTATTTTCATAATTACCACATATGGGCTGATGAAAACCCTCACGCTATTGTCGAAACTAACCATCAAGAACAGTTTTCTCTTAACGTGTGGCTCGGAGTTATTGGGAATGATTTAATTGGGCCTCATTTTCTACCTTCTCGATTAAATGGTGAGGCATACGTTCAATTTTTAAGAGAAGTGCATCCAGTACTGCTGGAGGAATTTCCTTTGGGCGTCAGAAGGGATACGTTTTTATGCATGATGGGGCTCTCGCCCATTTTAGTCAAGTAGCACGTCATCATTCAACGGAAACATATGCAAATCAGTGGATAGGCCGAGGAGGACCACAGAACTGGCCCGCTCGATCCCCGGATCTCAATCCTCTCGATTTCTTTATTTGGGGCCATTTACAGCATTTGGTTTATCGTACTCCTGTTCGCGATGTAGAGGACTTGAGAAACCGCATCATCGATGCCTGCAGGGTAATCAGAGAAAGTATAGATTTCCAAAAAAAAATGTTTCAGCATGGAATAAATATATAAGTTTGAAAGACGCATCTAAACACTTCAAAGTGTCATGGCGTCGCTTGTGACGTCACGTTCGAGTAAACTAGTTCGGTGCAGTCTCAGGGTACTAATGCATCAGGATTGTGGATCTAACCATACGGATCACAATACATTTTTGAAAAACATTGATTCTCCATGTGACTCATTATGTCTTGAAAACTATGAAGAGAATGAAATATTCGAATTGTTGCGAGTCAAACTGAAAAACAAAACCTAATCAGGGTCCGACGAAGTGCCAATGTATTTGGTGAAGAAAAGTTTAGCAGTGTTATTGAAGCCCCTGACATTCCTTGTTAATCTATCCTTCTCAACAGGGATCTTTCCAGATATGTTGAAGATTGGGAAAATTATGCCTATTCATAAAAAAATTGTCATAAAATAATTTAATATCAGAAAACCAACATGGATTTCTAAATAAGAAATCAATAACCACAGCACTATATTCCTACTATCACAAACTAGTGGATTACATTGAGGCAGGCGAATGCCCTGTTGGGATTTTTTGTTATCTCAGCAAGGCATTTGACTGTGTAAATCACAGAATTCTTTTGGGTAAACTCTATCACTATGGTGTGAGGTACACCTCTGGATTGGATACGGTCATATCTTTGTGACGGATGGCAGTATGTCTCAATTGAAAAGGAGTCATCTGGGTAATTGAAAAACGACTTGGGTGTCCCACAAGGGTCAGTACTTGGCCCGTTTCTATTCATAATTTAATCAACGACATCGATAAGCTCCCTGTGCCAGTATCCTCCACTATGTACGCAGATGACACCTCACTTATAATTTCCAATACCCAAGAAACTTCTATAACGGAAAATTGTAAGGAAACTTTATCCGCAGTTAATAATTGGTTCTCGGCAAATCGTCTTTTTCTGAATATTGATGAAACAGAATGCCTTAGATTTCATATCCCGCAAAGAACCTGTGAATATATCTCATTTGGTTTTCCTATGATCTCCACTAATACAAGAACGAAATTTCTGGGATTAAATGTTGATAACCATCTCAATTGGAAATCTCACAGTGAGGATCTTGTTTCCAAACTCCACACAGTTGCCTTTCAATTTAGGAATATAAAAGTTGTTGCAGCTCTATTATGCACAGGTAGAAAGTAGACTACGATATGGCTTGACCTTCTGGGCAATATCAACTTCATCGTCTTGTGTTTTTATAGCACAACGACGTATTATACATTCAATGTTGGGTTTGAGCTATCGAACCTCCTGCAGAAATGCATTCAAAGACCTGGAGATATTAACCTTACCCTCACTTTATATTTTAGAATTGTGTATATGTATATATGTATAAGTAAAAAGATACATTCCCCCAGATTGATTCTAAACATGGGTATAACACTAGACACAAATATAACTTTATAGTGCCTTTAATAAAACTTTAGAATAACCCCAAACTTCATGGCTCCAGAAATATTTAATTCGATCCCGGAAAACATAAAAAATAGTAGCTCAACTTTCATTTTCGAACGAAATCTGGAAGATTTTCTAGTGCAAAATTGCTTTTACTCCATAGAACAGTTTTTAGAACATCACTTCTGAGAGAATTTTTTTTCTCTCATCTAATTATGTACTTATTTGCTTTTGATTATCAGTTATATATAACCGTTTGTATGCTTTTTGAGCGGTGCTTGCTATTCGTTTGTTGATGATATATGCACTTTGTATGAAACCCTTCCTTTGAATTTTTCCGTACAGCATGTACTGTCTCAAGGAAATAAAAACATATTATTATTATTATTATCATAGTGAAAACTCCGAACAAGTTATTTGAGGTTAGGTTTCATCTATTGTATGACTCATTTATATTAATTTTTTCGAAAAATTCTACCGATGCCAGAAATTCTCTCAGCATCAACAAGTCGATTCTAGGCACATTACTGTTTGCCTTTGTGAATCCTCGTTCTATGGCTCATCTTATTTCACTTTTAGTGAGGAAGTCGTGAGGAAAATGAGTAAAAACTAGCGTCGAATACTATTGTTATATTATACATGAAGTCATTTTCGTTCGCTTACTCTAACGTGACGTAATTCGCTCTGATTGGTGTTCAAGATAGCATGGGGTAGTTTTGTTTGTTTTAGCCGTGGTCTACAAGTTTTTATGTCTGAGGTTCGTCTACGACTGCGGTAGATATTAACAAAGGCGATGAAGCAATGGACGAAGTCTAGTTTACAGGTTCACAGGACCTCTCAACCAAAGTCTTAACAACCCCTCTTCTCTGTCGCGGAAGATGATCGGTTTGTTTGGGTTGGTTTCCTGTATACTTCATTGCCTATTCACTTGGAAATGGGTAAAAAATCAATCATTATCAATGATATTGATGATTGAAATAACCACTTTTGTTATATGAATAATCCCTCGGTACCACTCTGAACTCGATTCATCTCAATCCGTGCCAGCAAATATACAAAGGTCAACAAACAAACAAAAATCAGCAATCAACCAATACCTGCTATAAATACACCTCGAAGAAATCGAAACTGCATCAGAAGAAGTAACAGCTCCAAAGTGCTACAATGGGTGTTCATCTGAAAAACTGCATTTTCGTGCTAGGCGCATTCTTAGTAACCGCAACAGCCATGAACGTCAAAGTGATGTTGAAAGATGGCTGGGACGAGAAAGTCATTGAAAACATCTCAGGGGACAGACTGGTGAAGGCTTTGGAAGATGAAGACCTCTCCAAGTACGACATGATGGTCCTAAGCGGAGACATGCGGGAACTGACAGAAGACTTCCTCAACGATTTGGACTTCTCCACTCTCGAAATCCGTGACTCCAACATGGCAACCATCCAGCCTGGAGCATTCGATGACATGAAGAACCTGAGGAGGCTCATCATCTCCGACACCGAATTGAAAGAAATCAGGAAGGGGGTATTCAATCACCTGAAAATCGAGTCGCTGGATTTAAAGAACAACAAAATCGAGAGGATCGAGTCTGGAGCCTTCAACGGCATGATGATGCTCACCAGGATGTCTATGGACAACAACGAGATGATGAGAATGGAGAGGGAGATGTTCCGGAACATGCCGATGATGAGGGAGCTCGACATGGGAAGGAACAATATTCGGGAGGTTGAAAACGGCGCCCTTGATTTACCGAGATTAGAATACCTCAATATGGAACAGAATCAAATGAGAATGCTAAACAGGGAAATGATGGGTAAGTTACTCTCTGTTTGTGTGAAGTATTATTGAGTGGAAGTAGAAGAGAAGCATTATTATTCATCTGTGGACTGCTTTTCCTCCTCTCACTTGAAAAGTTGATATTTCCTAGAAAAGAAATCGTTTTTGACGGATATAATATGCAGCTTCGTCTCCTATTAGCTTTTTGTAGTGAATGTTGTAGTATTCACCTTCCTTCGACATATCTCCATAGAAGAAATAGGTTTGTTTTGGTCACTTAGATACTAATATCCTACTCCTTTACATTCAGACTTTAACATTTGAGGGAGAAAGAGAAAAAAAACAAAGAGCTGAAGACAAACAAAACTCGGTAATTTCAGCATCAAGGATCCTGAAACACATTCACATTGATGAAACTTCTATCGTTGCACAAATTGAAGTCTGACCTTATGGAAAGGAGAGGCAAGTGGCATTGAAAGTATTGGCTTTCAGGTTTTCATTCAAATACAAATTATTGTATACGAGGCTCCTTAAGGCGATACGTTGCAGAGCTAAGCTTGCAGATCGAACACCGAATGAGATTCATCCTCTGTATAGCAATTAGATGATCCATCAAAATACTTCAGTGGATCTTCTTTTAGTGGAAACGATTAGAAGATCAAGTGGCACCGTTCCAATTCAATTAAACTGCACATTAACTGGTCATTACCTTCGTTTTCTGGATGATCTATGTTGATAATTCCCCGAGCCACCAAGGAAGCATCTTGGCTGCCCTGTCAGCTATATAACGTTACAGAATCAACTAGAAAAATATCTGGCCGAAGTTGAGAGCCAGTTCACCTCTTTCATCAAAATCAGCAGGTTATATTTCATAAAGAACAGAATAAGAATATCCCAAAACAAGAAAGATCAATGGAATCAAATCCGGTGGTTTCGGAGGCCATTCAATTGCTAACTCTGTCGTTCTCTCTATCCGGAAATCTCTCATTTAGTGACTGGCGGAGGTGGAGAACGCTGAAACTTAATTACTTTCAGCATCAATTCGGATTTCTAGTTCGGGATGAATTAGAGAATCGAAAGACTCCTCAAGCATGTTTGAATACAGAGTGTCTGTTGAGCTTGTATCTGAAAAAAGAACTACAAAAATGGCATTTTCAAAAGTAACAGATTTAATTTTAGCATTTTATTACCGTTCTGTATTTCGCTGTGGATAAATACCCATGAGAGTTTTCGATATTCCAATAGCGATAATTTTGTTTATGTAATTAGTGATAATGTTACTTATATGAGTCAAGGCTTCACAAATCCATATTTCTTTATTAAAAGCAAACCCTCTCAGCTCTTGAATTATCTGCATTCTGAATTTAGGCATTTTCTGTGATTTTCCCACATTTTTATGTAATATTTCCATCTATTTTCGCATTGTTCGTGAAGAACTGGTGGATTCTGCAACAGATATGCCCAAAACGCCAATTTCAAACTCATACATCAACATATAAGTTTGAAAATGTCTTTATACGACGAAACTGCAGTAAATTCAGCTACAAATAAAAGTGGTAAAAACCATAGGCAATTTAATTTCCCATTTATCATCTTTATTTAGTACTAGTGGACTATTTTTTATCTATTTATCTATTTATTTATTGCGCTTGATAAGACCTTTGACATTTTGTGACATAAGGGTTTGCTGGCCAAACTTCAATGCTTTGGCAGCTTTGGCAGCATTAACGCTGGTGTTCCCCAGGGATTCATATTGTCTCCAACCGATTTTTTATTCTATATCAACGACTCATTGGAACAAACAAAAATCCAATATATTGCTTTGCTGACGACAGCATATTTGTTTCGTCATTCCAATTGGATTGCATATCTTAATGAGGATTTAGAAGTGATTTTGGATTGGGGTGGAAGTAACCAGTTCCAATTCCACGCTACAAAAACTCAGGCATCGGTTTTCTCCAGAAAGATGAATGTCTACGAACTGGCTATAATAAAGTCAGAACAGATAATTTTGCTTTCTGCTTCGATAACTTTGTTGGAGGTTGAAAGGGACACCAGTATGTCTTGGCACAATCATGTTGCTGGACTCCATCCAAAAAATACCCATCTGCCTGATTGGAGACACGGACATCATCACTTGGTTAGATTCGTGACTCAGATACTGTCGCGTGTGACTGGGTTTTCGATATACATATGTTTCCCACTCAGTGTCGGTCCTCTTCATCAATACGACCAAGAATGTTGTGGGTTTTTCACCTTTTGTTAAAATGATGGAAGGTTTTACACTGTTGATGTGCTTCAGAAACGCTTCTGGTTCTGTATTATCATGGTTCCATACTGTGGAGGCGTCGATAACGTATCTCAATTAGACTTGGGGCTTCTTATGGGCTTCTTCCGAAGACGAGGACCTGGAGGACGGAGAAGGATTTCAATTTTCAATCTGATTTATCCAATTCAAATTTGGAAAGACACATTTCTTAAATGGAATAATATCAAGCATTTTCTCCTTTTCTGGAAATGAGTAACACTATTGACACTATTGTTGTTTGTTGTCAACTTTGTTAGTGAGGGACCTCTGAAGAAGTCACTTGTTGAAGAGAATATTATATTGGGATCTTCAGCTACTGTAGTTCAAGGTATCAGCTGGTATTGTTCGCGTTGTCAAGGCTGTACAAAAAAAATAGATGAGTGAACTGAAGGAGTCCAATTTGCATTAAAGATATTTAGTTTTCCACATTTTCCCTACAAGTTCATACTTTGTGTGGGGAAATCAAATGATGTTATAAAGAGTCACAAACTCATCTGCGATTCTCACAAATCCGGTGTGATTTTTTTCAGCTCATTTACCGAATTTGCAAGAGCTGATTCTAGACAGCAACGACATTGAGGAAATTCCAGATCTCTTTTTCGAAAGAGCAAGAAACCTGAGATCACTCTCAATGATGTTGAACAACATGAGAAAAATAGAGAAAGAAACCTTCAGGGGGCTTGAGAAGTTGGAAAAGCTGCAACTCAGCGGAAATGAAATCTCAGAAATCGAGGAAGGATTTTTGGAGAGCATGCCAAAACTGGAAATGATGGATATGAGCCACAATGAAATGAGAGTTATCAAAACTGGAACTTTCAAAGATTCGGATACATTGAGAAGTAAGTGACTTTGATATTCAGGATATTCCTGAATGTCATAAGAATATTCAACGAGGTGATGATAATAATGATTTTGGAAAAAAGGTCCCTACAACGCTTCATTTATAATAAAATAAAAAAATAAAAGTTCAACATGTGATATCATAACGAAGCCTTCTAGTCTATAGATTTATAGATTTTTTTCTCAGAATCATCCATAGAACCTCTTGAATATCCACATGACATTCAGGAACACCTTGTATATGGTATCATTCTGGACCTTCCTTTAAAACAATAGCAATAACGATCGAATACTAACCATTTTTCGTTACAGGGTTGAGCATGGTTGGCAACAAAATCACCACGATCGAAGAGGGTGCGTTTTCCAATATGAGAGCCATGACTGAGCTGAACATGTCCAGAAACGAACTCACGAAATTGGATAGACAAATGTTCAGGAATGTTCCGGAATCCATGCGGATTATTCTCGGACTTCAGTCCGAACAAGAAATGGAACTTCGCAATCTCAAAGAGTGATGCAAGATCGATAATTTGTATATTATTAAATAATGGACCACTAACAACTAACATGCCAAATAGAATAGATTAAAAAAATCCCAAGTATTTTTTTTCTCACGGTTTTTCGATATTTTCTAAACATACCATTTGTTAATAAGATAATCTTCAGGTGAACTTCCGAACTCTCTATATGAATATTTACAATTGAGCTTTCGATAAATATTTGTTCTCCTGTTAGATAATAATAATAATTGTATTACCCGTTTTCGGTACATGTACATATGGTTAATCAATAATTGTACTATAAAATATATCCATATGAAGAATGAAAAAAATTGTTTGTCCTACTTGAATGAAAAATCGAAGAATAAAGATGAAACATATATATAAAAAAACATAAATCACGGCACATAATATGCAAATGTCACAATTTTAAAAGGAACAATTACATACAGTGCATTTTTTGAATAAGTCCCCCCTTTTATTTTTTTGAACGGGTCAACTGAAAAAATTGAATTTGGGATAATGCAATTAATGCATGAATACTTTATTTTGAAGTCAAATTGGCAGATGGACGCCATCTATGAGATCCACAGAGAACTGAATCTTCAAATATCAAAGATAAAGAGGATCTCAATGGCATCTCTGTGAGGGGAAAATCCATCACCCAGTTGAATCCAGAAAGGCATTTGATCTTCAGCCTAGCACCACTGATGACAGGCCTATAAGGGGTGGAAACAGCGCTATCTGGTGTTGAATCATGAATGCATAGTGTTTGGGCGGTGGTTTACAAACAGCTCACATGTTTGATGAAATTGTTGTACCTCAGGAGATCATTTTTGGACCAAATTTCATTCACCACTTAGATAAATTAGCTTGACGGACACTTTATCAGATACTTTTTTGTTTATTCAAAGACTTAGTTACAGAAGAATGTTATAAAATTAAATAATAATAATAAACGTCTTTATTACTACAGTAAAAGGCGAAGTCCAATTTCCGCAGCTATGCAAATAACTGCTAAATTGTTCTTCCACTTAACCTAAAAAAGTCTCTGCATGGGTATTGAAGTAGCATATCATTAACATAAGTATATGAATACATGAATAAAGATCAGTGACTGGCGATGATACAAAACTAGGCAAACTATTATTGACCAGGAATCGCTCAATTTTTGAAAAAGGTATAATTTCAATTCTATTTTGAACTGAGGGGGTGGCAGTTTTTTAAACTGTTAACTGAAGGAGCGTTTGAATAACTGGGTTTTGAAAATGGGAGGTGTTAAAGAGCCTTTGAACCTGATGTTAATATTATGAACATCGAGAAAGAGAAAGATAAATTTGTGATAGAAGCAAGCAGCATATTTAGCCATCCTACTTCCTTGAGCTTGTGAGATATTCTGTTTCTTCTTCTTATTCCATATATAAGTCTCAAACAAGAATTCTGGACTATCTGAATTTTTTGTTTATAGTAACTTGTCAGGTTCGGCCCATAAAGAGTATCTGCATAATTGATTAATAATTAGTTTTTCAAACCTCATATGAGAATCAAATAAAACGCCAAGGTTTGTTGTTTCTAGTTGAATAAAATGTCTACTATCAGAGTCTATGATTCGGCAGGCTTCTTTGACATCTTCTGGATAAAAACTGTGATAAAATTGAGTATCGTCAGCGTAAATATGTACATTACAGGTTTCAAGTGTCCATAGCAAGGTTGACGAGTAAATAGTAAAGAGCTTTTGGAAATACCCAAAAAACTGTGGAAGAATGAGGAGAATGAACCAAACCGAAACTGTTTATTAATTCAACTATCTTACATCAACTACTATCACCCAGCTACTAAACAAATTGTATATCAACGCAGTTGACAAAGCTTATAAAATATAATAAGAGCAATGGACCCAAAACTGATCCTTGTGTTACTCCAGCCTTCAGTTCCAAGTCATTGTACTCGACCCTTCACGGTGAGATATAATTGATGTTTTTTCAATTATATAAGACGGTGCAATAATTGAATTTCACATTGAACAATCAGTTTATGAAAGAATCAAATTCTGGTAAATCTCTGAATTATGTGGTTGAAATAGGAATCTGGTCCAGCCATAGCATGTAAGTTTGGCCAGCAAACCCTCATGACATACGGTCAAAGGCTTCAGAAATATTAATCGCAACTCTTGTGTAAATTAAGTTTGGGCTGTCATACAATCTTCTTAAACTGATAAAAAATTATTTGCAACACAGATACAAATGGTAAAATATAATGGCAATACATCGGGTGAGGCCAACTCCGGAGTTCCCCAGGGCTCTAATTTGGGGCCCCTTCTGTTCGTTCTCTTCATAAATGACCTACCAACAGTATTAAATCATATTGAAGGTGCTTTGTTTGCTGATGATTTTAAATTTTATAAGATAATACAAACTGTTAGAGACTGTGTATTATTGCAGAAATATTTAAATAGCATTTTTAAATGTTTGTAAATGTAACATTGAAATACAGTTGTGTGTATTTTCTATAATGTTATTCAATTTGGTACTGAAGAGCCTTAAGGCAAGTGTCTTACGGCGAAACATCGATGTATACCAGTGAGGGTGACAGTGTTCCATGTAAGTGCAATTTGTTACCGTTCATTTAAAGTAGAACTCATGTGAATGATATCTGATTTTATATCATAACGAATGTTTGGAATACAAACTGAATAGAGAAAAGTATTTTCTGTATAATTCAGTGTTCATATAAGAGTATTTGTTTCGAAATAATTTTTTTTCGTGTAATTCAATGTTTATATGAAAGTAGCTGTTTCAGGAGGACTTTCTTTCAGTTTGTGTCTGAAAGTTACTTCTTTGCATGATCTACACATCCATGTATAGAGTTACTTACTTTCAAATGATTACTTCCTTCCTTTCTTTGGAAGATTCCCACATCTTTTTTTTGTATCAAGATGGAGTAGCAGAAAGCCAAAAACTTTCTTTCCTGATTATAATGCGGTTAGAACTACCCATCTTAGACATGAATTCAAAATTCTATCTTTGGAAGATCGAAGGGTGCATGTTGATGTTTTTATTTAAAATTATTAATAATAAAACTTATTCACCAACGTTACTTTCTTCACTGCGATTTAATGTGTCTCCAAGGAGAATGCGCTGTTACATTTAATATAACTGTTTTACATAGAACTACTAGAGTTCCTTTTACCACGTGTCGACTAGCAAATTATTATAACACACTCATTGATCTGGATTGGTCAATAACTCAAAATATGCCATAGTCAAACAAATTATTAATTTATCATCATAATGCTAACTGATTACAATTACTACTGAAATGAATTTTCTCATTTGTTAAATTGAAACTAATATTGTAAAAATCATAGGGTTGAGTTCACTTTTACTTTTATTTTCACCTTTATTTTTATTTTTCATGTTTATGACTTGTAAATTGATATAAATTATTTGTAATGATCAAATCAAACATTATTCAGAGCACATGTTTGGCAGAAACATCTGGTATACAGACACTTTGACGAAATAAGAAATAAGAGGAATCTGGTTAATTTCCGAGTTAAAAATCCAAGCAGTTTTTATAAACTTCATCAACGTCGCAATACATATTCGTTAACAAAGTACCTAATTCCACTGGACTACTCCCAAACTCGATTATCGCCATGAATGGACGCGATCTCAGTAACCTTTGCATCTAAGCCTCACGTGCTTATACATAAACAAAAACCGGTTAACTCCGGAGGCTATCGAATCCAAAATATACACGAGATAAAATGATTTCCGAAGCATCAGTCAGATCATCGCCAGCGTACCAAAATGGCTCCAAAAATTCATCTCCTCTTCGTAGTGTTGTGTTTTTATGTGGGCGTAACTCATTCGAAAAAAGCCACCTTCAAAAACGTTGACGTCACGCTAACGTGCACCAAGCCGCTCTACAAGCACAACAACGAAGTCGTCAAGATAGCCAACTCCAACGATTTGATGGAGAACCTCAACGAGAGGGACCCCAGGACGTATGACACCATCACCATCTCCAACCAGTCTCTTCCTGTGATTTACGAAGGCTCTCTGTCCAACCTTTACCTCGAACGGCTCCAGATCATCTACTGTGACGTTCAAATCATAGAGCCTGGTGTCTTCAAGGACGCCCATAAGCTGGACTACCTCACCATCAGCGAAACCCATCTTCACGAAATTCCCTTGGGGGTTTTCAATGACCTGCCGATAGTAACATTCTACTTGGACAACAACGAGATCAATAAGATCGAGAGCGGGGCTTTTGGTGGGATGACGAAGCTGAAGCACATCTACCTCAGCATCAACGAGATGGAAACCATCAAGAAGGGGCTGTTCAAGGATTTGCCAGAGCTGAAGCTAATCAGGGTTGATGAAAACGGGCTGGAGAAAATTGAGCCTGGGGCGTTTGAGAACCTGCCGAAGTTGAAAAAACTCGTTTTGGACAACAACAAGCTGAGGAAGATCGATGACGGTGTTTTGGGTGAGTAGGTTTCTTTTCAACCACCGCAAGGGGCTGCCAACTTATTCAAATGGAAGGAGCGTCTTATGATAACTCTTTTCTATCTGCGAGTTCTGAGATGAAATGTTGTTATGTACTGTACCCTTTAGATGTCACGTATCCCGTCAAAAATATCTGGAGGTGTAATATCAGGTGATTTAGTGGGCCCTTCCAAAGGACAACGTTTGCCTTACCACCGGTGTCGATAATTGACAATTCCAAATGAGTTTTCAGCATATGTTACGTTTTAGCAAGAAAGAGTCCTTTCGCATCACAGCAAGCTAGTTTGGAAGGGCTAGATAGCCATAATACAAACAGGTGGATAGGTAAACGCGATCCCTCAAAGTGGTCTGCTAGATCACCTGATATAGAGCAATTAGATTTGTGACAGAATTGGTCGATACTTGAAAATTTTCAACGTATGTATTGGACTGTATCTCAATATACTTTATTAGTGATTATTAGTATCTCAGTTTCAGCTCATGAGCAGGTCAAAGATTCTCGTGTACGTCAATTAGTATTTTGATGCACTTTTTCAATCATCCCACCTCTTTCCCTTATATTGGAAATTGGAAAATTCAGCGATAGGAACGAGCGAACATTCCAAAAGTAATTAAAATACTTGGCATTTCTGTATCAAATAAAATCAGTCACTGAAAAAGGTATTCCCACATGATTTCTGAATTTCTGACGAGTGCTATGAATCACGAATCGAGGCCTTATCTCCATTACTTAGATAACAGCGTAGTTTTCGAAGAAAAAATTCATTAAAGTCAAGTGAATAAATATTGCAAAATTAAAGTTGAGTCAATCCAGTATATTAATTTTCAAAGCTTTCAGAAATAGCTGAGTCTCCTCTAGAATTAACCATCCAAGAATTGAGAAGAAAAGCGATCAAGAAATGCTGCAGGTGAACACACTGTATGCATAGAAGAATTAACAAACTATGTAGAGTGAAAGACTTGCTTGGTTGGAAATAAAGGAGACAATGGGGACAATACCATCAGCAACATTAAATACACATTTATAACTTTCTCCTTTGTATTTTGTTAAAATGGGAAATGCGAGAGAGCTCCAGTTTAGGTGGTCACCAAATCGAACATTATTCAGAGTACATGCTTGGCAGGAATATCTGGTATACAGATACTTTGATCAGAGGCATTGATGAACCCAAAAGGAAGATATTGACAGGTCTAGAAATGCCATAAAGAACTTGAAACTAGCAGGCAGAAATTGATTTGACTTTTTATGAGTATTGGAAACCATAACTTTATTATTTATTCGAAAGAAAAATGACCAAGACATACTTCTGACAACCTTTACATTTCCAACTGCAAATAATTCTCATTATTTCACGCACAAAAATTCTTCTCTTCACCTGTGACATATATTAGTTTAAAATTGTACTTTAACTTCTTTTACTTCTTTAACTTTTGAGTAAAAGCTGTATTATAATCAGTTTCTTGGTCATCTTACCTTCTATTCTTACTGCTTGACTTCCAGGAGAGGAAATAGCTTTATGTTCGTTAAATAAAAGCTCCAATGGAAGGACCTTGTGGCGGCAGAGGATATTTCTAAAAAGTTCATACCATGAAGAACTAATATTTCTCGAGATTGGTTGAAAATGACTCAGATGTGACAACAATAACAGACATTTCGTCAGAAGTTGAAGCTTTTTCCATTTTCCTGATGAAGTATTGCAGGGATCTAAAATATTAAAGAATTTCCATCATATAATCTTTGCCAAGTTCTCGCCGATAAAGTCTCCTTGATTGTTCTTGCAGCTTGTAGTGATGCGTAAATCATCTTTTTTTTTCCATACACTTGTTAATAGTGTTTCATAATCTGTTTCTTGGCCACCAGTAGCCAACTTGCTCTTTGTTCTTACTGTTTAACTCTCAAGTCAGTGTTTGTGTCTATTGGACAAAAACTCAGGTGTTATAACAACACCAGAAACTTCTTCGGGAAGCAGTATTTTCGATTTTTCTGATGAGGTAATGTTGATGAGGGTCCACAATATTGATGGATTTCCATTCCTCAATCTGACAGATCGTAATGAAGTTCGCTTCATTGCCTCTTTGGTTTCATTAGGAATTGTCAATGACAACATTTTAGATGTCTATGCAGTTCAAGACAAACTTGTCGGAAATAAAGATTTCTTCTTTATTTCTCCATCTCTATACGTGGGGAAACTTCTGAAGGAAACAGTCAATTGATTCCAAAACAAAGTCTTGTGAAACTATGTGGTGGTGAAACTATGTCAACCACCAAACACAAAGCCTATTTTTATTGAATCTGGATTGAATCGGTATACAAAGCTGGTTTGGAGGCAAAGATAGAAAGTTTTTGAAGAAGTGCTATAGGCAATAAGATGCTCATATTCAAAGCTGAAGATTTTTCACACTCTTTGATGTAGCTCTTCCTTCGTGAGACTTCTGAGTGAATCCCAGAGGATGGAAATGTCATGACATCCCCATGTTTGTCATTATCATCAAGAAATTCAACACACTATCCTTCATTTCAGAAAATCTGCCGTCTTTACAGACTCTGTTTTTGCAAAACAATGAGCTGGATGGGATAAACGTGAACACGTTCAAGACTCTGGACCAACTGGAAGTGTTATGGTTGCAAGGCAACAAACTGAAAGAGATGAAGAAGGGAGACATCGACAATCTAAAAAATCTTCGCGAACTCAATCTGAACGATAACGAAATTAGAGTTCTGAGGCCGGGTTTCATTGACGGCTTGACGAAGCTGGAAGAGGTCGATCTGAGTAATAATAAACTCACAGTTATACCGAATGGGGTATTTAGCAAGTCATCGATAACAGGTAAGATATGATTTCTTCATTTATTTTGACTCCTCAACAATGAACAAAAACAAGTATAGAGGTCTGTTCAAAAAATAAGGTGAATTTCAGTTTTTCTCAAAAAATATTTATTCGTCGACTTCTATTTTGCCCCTTTAAATTAGTCCACCTCAGATATAATATACTTGTGCCAGAGTTTTTTCCAATTCTCCAAATATAGTCCGGTCATTATATAATTTGAATTAACGAAAATTGCGACAGAGCTAAATTTTGGTGAAGACCTTTATTTAACCATAAAAAATGAAAATTTCAAAGTCCCAATCTGTCCCATGAGCGCTTCAAAAGTTATTAGGGGTCAAAGGTCAAAATTTCAGGTTTTTTGAGTTTTTCTCGAAAACCGTGAGTTTTATCAAAAAAATAATTCAGACCAAAGTTGTAGACCTCAAAATTCTCTACAAAAATGGTCTTTATGATTTTTTCTGTAAGTATCACCTTTCCTGAGATATCGCAATTGTAAAAGTCACGTTCTATGTAATATGCATACATTAGCCACGTATATACACATCCAGGTACTTAAGTAAGTAAAAATGCCTGTTTGTGTCTCTTTTATATACTATATATTATATTCAGAAAATACACTTCTAAAGGACCGTCAATCCCTTCGAAAATCCCCTCTACACGTATGGCCTTGAATATAACATCTAGCTACTTATTCTATTGTCCATGTGGCATCGTTCATGTGCCTGCTTCTTTTAGTGTTGAACGTTCTGTTCGAATGAATATACATATTTATTACAAGCGTCTACTATAAGAGTTTTTAGTGATTAATATTTGAAAAAAAATGTCGCAATTTTGCTTTATTTGCTCTAAGCTTTTGACTGAAGGTGAAACTGTTGTGATTAATCGTGGAATGCAAACTTTAATCGATACAAGTGATGCGAGAAGTGATGAGTTTACTGAATATTCAAGAGGTCTGAAGTCTTTTACAATCCACGTGGATTTCCGAAATTCATACACCCGGAAAACTTCAATTGCCACAGCAAAAAGACAACGTGAAGATGAACAGGCCAGTACTTTAAAAGTGAGCCCACCTCGTACTAGAGCACGAGTAAGTGAATCCGGCTTCAGTTATAAAGAAAACTGCTTATTTTGTGGCGATGAAGCAGATGAACAGGCTGAGGAAAAGAAACCGCAAAGTCTTTGAAAAAAATTTACAAAGTTTCTACACTCAAATTTAAAGAACCTATTTTGAAATTAGCTAAAGATCGTTCTGATGACTTATCAAAAGGTGTCGTTGATCGTATTGATTTTGAATATGACTTAGTAGCTGCTGATGCTAAATACCATGATAGTTGTAACAAGGCCTACTGGGGAAACCACGTCGAAAAAAATGCGCCAAGTACACTACCTCACAGGTGGTGTGGAAACGTGTGCATATTACATAGAACGTGCGATATCTCAGGAACGGTGATTCTTAGAGAAAAAATCATAAGGACCATTTTTGTAGAGAATTTTGAGATCTACAACTTTGGTTTGAGGTATTATTTTGATAAAACTTACGGTTTTCGAGAAAAACTCAAAAAACATGAAATTTCAAGCTTTGACCTCGAATAACTTTTGAAGCGCTCATGGGACAGATTGGAACTTTGGAATTTTCATTTTTCATGGTAAAATAAATGTCTTCACCAAAATTTAGCTCTGTCGCAATTTTCGTTATTTCATTACTGTTTTCTGGTCTAAATTGACCGGACTAAACAGTTCTGATATGAACTTTTTGGTAGGTACTTGAGCTAGCGATTCAGTTTTTATCTCCTCAATCGTCACAGTCCTTTCATGGCTCTCTTCGATCTTGGGAACTCTTGATGCACGGAGCCACGGTAATAGAAAAGGAAAGTGAGCAATACTTTGGAATTTGATCGAACTTGGCATGCTTTTTGGTCTTGGCTCTCCTTGGTTAGGTTAGGTTAGGTCCCAAGTGAGTGGGTATATTCGACTCTCCACCGCAAGCCGCAAGGGTTTATTGTGGCTCATACCTATTCACACACGACCAAATAAACCCATCTTCTTAACGAAGCCGATTAGTTTGTATGGTGAGTGGTCTTTCAGGTCAGATGGTAGGAGAATGGTTCTGCCGAACTCAAAAACCTGATTCGGTCTCCAGTGGGGCAGGTGTTCAGTGTTTGTTTGGCAAAGCCCAAAGCGATGCCAATGACAGGTTCTGGTTCAATAAAGCCGCTTGCAGCACCCTCCTTCGCAAGAGAGTCAGCAGCTTCATTGCCTTCCAGGTCAGTATGGCCAGGAATCCAGACCTGAGACAATCTGTTAAGTCTTTCTATCGAGGAGAATCGTTTTTGGCAGTTTGTTACCAATTCAGACGTTGCTCGGTAGAAGCCAAGAGCTTCCAATGCCGCTTGAGTGTCCGAGAATATTTTAATTGACTTGTGAGTGAGGTTGGATTTATCCAATCTCTCTGCACACAATTCAATAGCGTAAATTTCTGCTTGAAATACAGTCGAATAAGTTCCTAGGCAGGTAGATAACTCTGTCCTGAGTCTGCGACTGAAAACACCTGCACCAGAACCGGAAGGTGTTTTTGATCCATCTGTGAACCAACAACTATCTGCTCTTAATATTTCCTTCTCCCGGAGGATCCAGTTCTCTCTACTCGAGAATAGTACTTTATAAGACAGTTCGTAGTTGACAGTTGGAGGAATAAAGTCAGAGGTCATTTCCAGAATGGAGTGACTTCCAATGTCAACCATTAGTGTGTTGCACTCTGCATTGAATTGATTTGTGCAATTGGCAATGTACACAAGTCTGTATGCAGTCCATCTAGCCTCTCTTTCCAGAAAAATGTGGAGAGGAGGTAGATCTAGAAGGATCTCCATGGCCTCTGAGTGTGATACTGATGGTACCACTGATAGCCAGACAAACCTGTATCTGTAAGCCAGAGAGCTTCGCTTGAACCGTTTTCTGTGAAGCCTTCGGTCACCAAGCAAAATCACCATAAGTGATCATTGCTCTGAAAATCATCGAAAATAAACCCCAAGTTTTACCACAAATCCTTCCACATGTCCATAGAGACAGTCTGGCTTTGTGTAAAACTTTTTCCAAGTGAGCGTTCCAGGTGAGTTTTTCATCAAGGACGATGCCAAGATATTTCACCTCCGTTCCAAATGGAATGACCACACCATTGAGGGAAATTGGCGTTAGATCGTCCAATATCCTCCTCTTGGTGAAGGGGTTGACAGACATCTGCTCCCTCTGGCACCAAGTGTGAACAACGTCCAACACGCTTTGGAGGATATTACAAGCTACCCATCCCGACGTGGACCTTGCCAGGATGACAAGGTCATCTGCATAAGCTTGCAGATTAACGTTTCTTCTGTTGAGGGCATCAAGCAGACTATCCATCAGGAGCATCAGGGTACTATCTCCACAGAAGGGGAGATAGTACCCCACCTTGAGGGCAGCCCCTGGTGACCCTGAACTTGATAGCCTCGCCTTGAAGAGTCGTAGTTGCAGTTCTGTTTACTAGCAAGGCGTAGATCCAGCCAGTTGTAGTCCTAGCCAGAGACAATCCTATAGATTCAGGAAGTGCATTGTCAAATGCTCCTCCAATATCAAGAAATACAGCAACCGCAAGATGGTAAGAGTACGGCTCTGCCGAACTCTAAAAACCTGATTTGGTCCCCAGCGGGGCAGGCCAAAAAATGCTCTGCTGTTTCATCGTTAATGATGTAGTCATATAGTCAAGGCGCAAGATCTCCACCTTGATACCCGCGACAATCTTCCCATATGAGGGTATTTGCACGTCAGCTACACCTGAGGATGCCTTAGATTCAACCGTGTAGGGCTTTTCCGCCTCTAGTTTTGGTGAATCATCACTTGATCGCAAACGTTCGCTAACCTGCTCATAGGGGGTTTGTTCCTCCATCTGAGAGAGATTCTGCGTACACCACTCCATAATTTAGTGCAAGGCGGTTTCAGGTACCCCGCTCTTGAGGAGACGACTCAGTCGTTTCCTGGCTGCACCACCAAACTTCTTTTTTAGGTTCAGTTATTGGATTAGGAGTCGGAGAGTTGAGAAGCTCTCGCTCCTGATCTAAATTCGCAGGGAGGTCAAGTGGAGTCGTGAGCTCGACATCTATCTCCTCTGTAGACTCAGCGCCAGAAAGAATGTTTAAGTTTACTTTGTCCAAAAAAGTCCCACGAGTAGCTGGGGAGAGAAGGTCAATCACGGCAGAGCTCCGCATTACCGTGACAAGGCGATACTAAGACGAGTGGGCGCCCGGTATCTCGGAGGTTCCGTAGAGACAGCTGATAGGCTCAGTGTCATTCATCCTCTCGGCACGGATACACACACCTTAGGATTGAGCCATCGTTGGGATGCCATTCAGTTAGGGAATAACAGAACCACAAGTGATTCTACTATTCCCGTATCCACTGGGGCTCCGATGGCCGGTTTGCTCAACCCCCACATCTCAAGCCAATGCATTCGCCAAAAACAGCATGCACAGTGGTTCAGGTAGTGAAAGATGAACAAGGGCAGTCAACCCGCCTAATCGAATGTACGCAGCAAGCGAAATTTGAACATTTACCTTATTTTTTGAGCAGACCGTGGACTATTCTACTCCTGGCACAGGAATTCTATGACTGCCCACACGAATCGTTAAAAATCTAAAAACAACAGCGACCGACTCCCATCAGAAAACCGCTCACCCATCCAGAAAGTAACCTTTCAAATTTCCAGACTTAAAACTCGGCAACAACGACATCGTCACCATCGAACCCGGAGCCTTCGAAGGTGCGCACATGTTCGACCTGGACCTGCGAGGAAACGACCTACTCGAAGTGACCGTGGGCGTCTTTAACAGCATCTTCGTCAACCGTCTGGACCTGAGTGACAACAAAATCGAGGTGATCAAAGATGGCGCTTTTGATGGATCCAACTTCCAGTTCCTCCATCTGGACGGAAACAAGATCCACCAGCTGCGTAGCGGTGTCTTCGAAAACGTCAAAGTCACCGTGGTCTCCGTCAAGAACACCAACCTCACCGACAGGGATCTGGTGTCCCTCAGGGACCTTTCCATCAGCTTCAATTTCAACTCTGGGACTGATTCCAGGCAAGCGCGCAGCGTGATTCGATGAGGCTGGGAGAGAGGCGGTTACGGGTGATTATTGTTGGACAGTGAAAGTGAATGGTGCATTTGGAAGAAAACAATGAATGGGTAACTTGGCTGGTGGTGTGCCGGTTGGGAATATTGTACTAAGATTTGTTGCACCACAAGTGACTTGATGGACATGCGGAAAATCGTTCATGAACTTTACAGAGGGGTTTAAATTGTGACGTCTGGAATGGAAAATGCTGGATCCCAGTCAACAGTAATCCATAAATATCCCTTGTCCGATTTTATACAGCGTGGACTTAGTACGTGGATTAGTCCTCCCCTCTTTACTCATTAACGTCACAACATATCAAGGTCGGACACAATTCACATTTTCAGTACTTTTTGATAAGAAAACTGAGGGCGCTACCAACGTTTTTTCTTCAAGAGTATGAGGAAGACTTGTGATAACTCGCTTGATAGGTATTTCCATTCTCTATCCATAATTTTATTACTTTTGGGATACTCTCAAGTGATTATCGCTCTTATACTCGTTTAAAAGACCTAAAAACAAACGATACATATCCTAATTTCAAATGTATTCTAAACTCCCGCCAGTTCATTTCAATGGACATTCAAAATTTCAATCATTCACCCTTTGACAGTCATGACATCTGTTAACAACTTTTTTCCTACGTTATTAAATGTTCCTGGGGCAATATCATTGAAAGTACTTATTTTTCTATCCTCCGCGACTTCCGAAATTGATTCCGGTTGTGTTTCATTCACTTCAGATGTCGCGCTCTCCCCCAAATGCATCTAGAGGCGTCGTATCAGGTGATCGAGTGGGCTCTTCTAAGGGACTACGTTTTCCTATCTACCGGTTTGGAAATTTGTCAAACCCAAATGATTTTTCAACTGATATTAGGTTTCAGCAACTCTTTATCACGAGCTGGTGCGAAAGTGACTATATATAGTACTGAAGTGAAACCTTTTAACGTGAATTCTGTCCAATCTTGATATCGTGTTCCTTTCAGAAGTTAAGAGAGGAGGGAAATTTTTGTCCGAACTGTATTGCTTACCAATTAAACAATTCTCAATGTTAAATATACCACAGAAATTACTTATTTTTGTCATTCATGACAATAATGACTTCAATAAATTGATGGATATAGCTGTTACTTTTCCCTCGCTCAGTGAGCGAGGCCTACTTACTCGTAAATTCCTTAAATTTAGCGAAAAAATCGTTATGTTGGCAACACTAGAATGGCACGCAGTGTTCAAATCGGAGCACTGCACTGCATGCATTTAATTTTACCGGGAACCTCGATATTGATAAAATAATAAAAGAGTTTGCTGACAGAGAGACTAGAAAAGTCAAATTTCATTGGTTTTTTTTTTGAAATGGATACTTTCTTTAATAAATGGTAATTTCATTATATCTTCTTCCTTTTTTCATATGGGTTTGAAATGCAGTTAGGAGGCGCCATATAAATCTTGCCTGTGGCGCTGGTAGTCCTAAAAATAATAAAAATAATTTGGCATAAATACAGCGTGACTCACGTTCGATGGTAGGTTAGACGTTTCTGGAAAACGCAAAGCATGATTTTTCTGAAAATTTCACCTCTCACATTTCCTTACCTGTTCTATCGATCTAAAATATTTTTAGCATTGCGGCGTTGCCACTTTCATTAAAAAGTCCTAGCAACTTTATTTTTTTAAATGGAACACCCCGTATAATAAATAATTTTTGGAATCGCTCTGGTATTTTAATATTTTTTTGTTAATAATGTCCTATACCTATCTCTATCTGTTTTCGAGATAAAAAATAAATTGTGCTAAATATGGTCCAAAACATAGCCTTAATTGAAATCAAGTACATCAGGACTCTCAATTCATGAAAAGTTGATATTTTGATGATAGTTTGGACAAACTCGAAATATTCAAATAACACCAAGAAATCGACTCCATATCATACAGGGCGTGCTAAAATGACTATTATTTCCATTGTGTATAAAAGTAGTCAAAAGTTCATTTTTTCAAATGAAACCCCCTGTATATTACTCGGTAAATTGAAAGATGGTGAAAAATGCTTCAAGATATATCATGTCCCTATACGTGAATCGTCAAGTTTTCTCAATAAAGTCGCTTCTTCTAGAAACATTATTTTTATAGAATTTGGATTTAGGTAGCAGTGGAATTATGAAGCTTATAGCAGTTCGGTTACTTTTATCAGTAATTTACAAAGAATTATTGACGGTGTTTCGAATCATCTTCCAAAATGAATGCAAATATCGATTATTCAAACGAAGTTCTTATTAAATTATTTATTATACACATGAACAAAGTGATCAAATAATTGTCAGAACGTGTAAAAACTCCAACCAAATGTATCCTGAATTAACACCAATGAACGAGAGGAAGTTTGTAAGGTTACAAAATAATTTCCTTAACTATGGCTCAAAGTTTCCAGGGAACAACTGTACCAAAAATCAGTCATTTCTAGGTAAAAAGTAAGATTTTGTGGGCTTTGAAAGTACAGACAATAACAGAATAGGATGATTCAAAATAACAAAAAATATCACATTTTCAATAAAACACTTTAAAATGTATTTTTGTACGCGACTTGTGGTTGCTTTTGCAATTTCCTGGGGATCCAGATCTTCAATACTCCGCACTATTCGCCATCGCATAGGTAGTGAAGTACTGTATACCCTTTCTTTCAAAACACCCCATAAAAAAAGTCAAGTGGCGTGAGATCGGGTGATCTCGGTGGCCAATCCCACGGCCTTAAACGCCTAAACCAACGATCGTCGAAGAGTTCGTCAAGTTTCCTGGAAACTTCCTGGGTGGAATGAGCTGGCGCTCCGTCCAGTTGAAACACGAATTCCTATATTCCTCTGAAGGCAAATTTTCAGGAAAATCGGTTACAGTCGTCCTTAATATTTGGAGATATCTCTCGGCATTCAGTGTGGCTTCATAAATAAAAAAGCTAATTTTATTTTTCTTCAGAATACAGAAAACATTCAGGTCAAATTTTTCTTGAAAACCCATTTCTTTTGTAACATGGGGATTATGATCAGGCCAAAAATGTTTATTCCTTCTATTGAAAATACCATCCCTCGTAAATTTTGATTCGTCGCTTCAAATTATTTTTGACAAAAATTCCCGATCTTCCTGTGTATGAATCAAAAGGGATTCACAAAAATGCATTCTACGTTCGAAGTTTTCTGCTTTTAGAGCTTGAACTTTGGTAAATTTATACGGATGCATTCCGTGATTTTTCAAAATTCGTTATACTGAAGCATGTGATACACCTAAATCTTTTTCTGCACTGCGAATGGAAGCTTCTGGATATACATAAAAATATGCCAAAACGTTAACAATATTGTCCTCATTTGAAGTAACAGGTTCTGGTAATGTTGAGGGCGTTTTTAACATGGAGCCATAGTTAAGAAACTTATTTTGTAATCTTACAAACTTCCTCTCGTTCATTGGTGTTAATTCAGGATACATTTGGTTGAATTTTCTACAAGTTCTGGCAATGATTTGATCACACTGTCCGTGAATAACAAATAATTTCATAAGAACTTCGTTTGAATAATCAATATTTGCATTAATTTTTGGCGATTTTTTGAAACACCGTCAATAACCATTTATCAATTACTTATAAAAGTCACCAAACTGTCATAAGCTTGATATTTCCACGGCTACCTAGAAATCAAATTCTTTAAAAATTATATTTTGTACAACTGTTATTGAAAATCTCTTTGATAGAAACACTTCAATCAGAACACCTACCAAAAAATCATTTAGTAAAGTTCACACATGCAGTTCGTGCTATTGGTAATATTAAATCCCTGTGAAGTTACTGACGATGACGAAGTAGTATTCAGTCCAACTGTAGAAAGTCATTCATGACTAACCAATAATCCTCCTTAAAATAACGTGAGTTGGCGTATGTAGTTGTAACATATGCCTTGTAATCCAAAGATCGTGTGTTCAAATTCCATGGACCCTATAATTTTTTTTATTATCAGCAGTAACGTTATACAAACAAATTTGTATGATACATTTGTTAAAAGTGATTTTATTTTGCTCGTGAGTTTGCTTCACTTGCTGACGCTCGTTTTGCATTAATCCCCACTCACAAAATAAAATGCCACTTTCAACACTTGTAGGAAAAACGTGAATAACTATTTTCCACAAAAACGGCTTTATTGAAAAAACTTGACGATTTAGGTATAGGGACATGATATATCATCTTGAAGCATTTTTCACCATCTTTCAAGTTACCGAGTAATATACAGGTGGTTTCATTTGAAAAAATTAACTTTTGACTACTTTTATGCACAATAGAAATAATAGTAATTTTAGCACGCTCTGTATGATATGGAGTCGATTTCTTGGTGTTATTTGAATATTTCGAGTTTGTCGAAACTATCCTCAAAATATCAACTTTTCATGAATTGAGAGTACTGATGTACTTAATTTCAATTAAGGCTATGTTTTGGACAATATTTAGCACAATTTATTTCTTATCTCGAAAACAGATAGGGATAGGTATAGGACATTATCAACAAAAAATTATTAAAATACCAGAGCGATTCCAAAAATGTATTAATATACGGGGTGTTCCATTTAAAAAAACATAATTGCTAGGACTTTTTGATAGAAGTGGCAACGCCGCAATGCTGAAAGTATTTTAGATTGATAGAACAGGTAAGGAAATGTGAGAGGTGAAATTTTCAGAAAAATCATGCTCTGCGTTTTCCAGAAACGTCTAACCTACCATCGACCGTGAGTCACGCTGTATAATTTATTTCATCGTTTCGTGACAAAATACACTCTAATTTTTCCATATCTTAGTGACTATCTTTGTGCTATGCCTGTCAGTCCTACTCGATGATATATCTTCTTGCAGGAATAAAATTTCAGCAGGAAAACGTCCAATTGTGTTTTTTGCTAAAAATATCGTTCCATAATGTGGTCACTTAAAATATTTGCGTATGCATTTATTTACATGGCGAGCCGAAAACACGTGAATCATAATAACATTTCACGGCTGGTAGATTTCCTCTGCTTGTTTTTAAGGAATGTTTGTCCGTGATAAAACTGATGGTAGATAAAGTACAGAGGCTCCAAAAACACTTCCACGCAGCTATTTTTGCGCTAACTATAAATGATCAACAACAAACGTATCTTGGAAGTTAATGGTGAACAAATTGAAATGTGTTTTGCGTTAACGGCAACCCTCAGTCGAAACTTGTCTCGGCTGAGGATGAAAAAGTCTACAGACGGATCTCCACCAAACGGGCTCGCTTGCGACTAGTTTTGTTTTCGAAAACAGAAACGAAAAACTCGAAATTCAAATTCCAAAAACGAGCACAAGTCTCATGTTTTGTTGTGAACTGTTTTGTATCGTTACAAAGGAAAGTTGAATTTCCTTGTTGTTTGAAATAAACAACAAATCAATAAAAATTGCCAGCCGACCGGTTCCACATAGCGAACTCAGTTTACAAAAACACAGACAAAATACCTAAACCTTTTGTTCTTTCGGTCTGCCGACAGGACATTTTGTTGTTGAGAAGAACAGTCGCCCGCGACACAAAGTCTTGCAAATGTTTCTTATTTTGAATCAGGATGTAGTTTGTTATAATGTGACCACTTACAGTTTTATTTGTTTGTACATATGAAACAATCAAATAATGTCATTATTGTGCAATATTACTCAATTTTTATTGTTGATTATTTAATGTTCTGAGTCAAAATTATCGTTGGTGTGTTTCTAATCTCGCTAACACGTCCATTTGAATTTTTTCATAACATAAGAACAGTTGACATTCGATAAGGGGTTAAAAAACCAAACCGATTTATCACTTTACAGTTGTAAGCATGTGATACAGGAATGGATCGTTATATTATAGTAAACATAATCAGGAGATAACCTTCAACTTTATGTTTATATATTTTTTACATGAGTCTTTATTTTTGGGCGAAATCAATAGTTTGTTTATAATAAGAGGTACAAGGTCAATTCAATCAAACAAAATTGCATGTTGAATACTTTGTGACGTCTTCATTATTATCAAAAATTCACTTATCAAAGAGTACATGACAGGTCAATCTAATTTAGTTGAATTGCGGGATGACGGATCTATCGTTACGGCAAGGAACTTTTGCTGATATTCATTTGACCTCTTCTGTATCTCAGAAACATACTTGTGACTAGATATTTCAAAAACATGCGAATTTTTATTTCAGTTCAATTTTGAAATGAAACATTATTAAAAGGTCTCTTTGAGAAAGAAATGTTTCAGCTTTCTCTATCTCCACAGAAACAAAGCGGAAATCTTCCAAAAAAAGGAAAAAAGCAATGAATTCCAAAATAAATTCCTCACAATGATGTGTAGTACATGCAAATTTTGAACTTTCAGACAC